CATCTTAACCAAACTCTACTGTTGCTTGGCCAAATATGCCCCTCTTTTCACCTGTGAAATGTTGGAAGGTATTGGAAAGGCATAGCACAGCTGTAGATCACCTCATTTGCTTGAAGAATTTCACTGGTTTAGCCCCAGACAACTTAAGTAAAGCAGAGAAAGAATTTGATCTGCTACTATGGAGAGCTACAACCAGTCAGTGTTGGGAGAAGAGTTGCCCATGGACTGCATGCAGTCTCCCAAAGGTTCCTACCTTTCCAATTTATTTTAACAATTATTTTTAATATTGGATTAAAAATTTTCTGTAAAACACCCCTGGCTGTGGGGTATTATGCTTTTAAAACACACACACAACAGCAGGAAATAAAAAAGGATCTAAAAAAAGAAAGTGAAGGGATTTCTGGTCACTTCATCGCATTATTGGTTGGTTTTTGGCTGAAAATGCAAAAGTGCCTCCCTGTAAGACCAAAATTGGTGCTTTTCCAGCCCCAGAACTGACAATACTAAGCAAGCAGTATAGTGGCCTGGCTCAGTATAAAGCAGCTTCCTTCAGTGAATACCCTGCAGCCTTAATTTTGGATTGTTCAAAGAGGAACATTTTCCTTGTACTGGAAACCTCATAATTTCTCTTGCAGCAACATTCAGATACCAACCACTTGAGAAAGCAAAAAGTGCTCTGGTCTTTCCCTAAATACCGAGATTTAGAAAACAAAACAAAATTCTTCATGCTTTTTTTCTTGTCAAAACTACGGTCTGCCAGTGGTTTATTCTCAGATTCCTAATCAGTTCTCACTCCGCCCAACACCAGTACAAAAGGTTTTACTTATTGTTTGGCAGTGGCTATGCTCACCAAAGAGCTCACAGCAAGTAAGAAAGTATTCACTGGAAAAGTCAGGGTCTGCTGTGTTAAAAGAGTAAGTGTTACATTTGCTAATCTTTAGTGTTGACAGAGAAGTCTAGGAGCAGATGCTTTTCAAAAGGTTATTGTCCTCTTATACCATACTAAGATTTAGCAAGTTATTTATTTTTATATTGTTTTAAGAGGCTGCCTGTTATCATTGACATGAAAAATAACTTGCCTAAAGCCACTTTGTCAGACCAACACAATCATAGTGGTAAGAAGAAAGTATTTTATGCCTACAGGAAATGCATGAAAACATGCATGTGCCTATGAAACAACTTTATGCATAGCTATTAATTAGTACTACAACACCAAATTAATTCAGACCTGATTTCTGTAAAGCACTGACCCATGCAAAAGTTCATCTTACACACAGTTATGTTCAAATGTACATACTTTTTGACCATTCTATTAGCATGCCATCAATTGACAGTCCAGGTGGGCATGCAGATAATATTGCTAATACTGCATGCATATCCACTTGATATAGTGGGACATCCATCAAACACTTACACAGGTGCTTTTCCAACAACCCAGAGCACCCAGTAAACTGAACCTTAATTGTAGCAAACTAATACATGTTCCTAGGAAAAGCAACTGAAACTATCTGCCCTGTTTACCCTATATTTTCAGATTCCTAATCAGTTCCCTGTTCACTCTGTAGACATTATGAGAAAGTTCAAATGAAATGGGAAAGTATGGTTTCTTGCAAGACTCAAATGCATACTCACCTCTATCCTCTTCACCAACTTTTGTGAATGTAGAATTCAGCAAAACAGCTATGTTAGTCTGGAAAATATGACTAAGCAAAGTTCTTGTAGAACCTTTGAGAAAGTGCAGAGATTGTAGCATAAAGTTTGGCTGCATCCGCACTGCAGAAATAATCCAGTTTGCCATGGCTCTCCACTATGGATGTCTGGGATTTGTAGTTTGTTGTGGCACCAGAGCTCTCCAACAGAGAAGAATAAACATCTCACAAAACTACAATTCCTAGAATTCTACACCATTGAGCCATGGCAGTTAAAGTGTTGTCAAATTGCATTATTTCGGCAGTGTGGATGCAGCCTTTCATAAATTTGGTCTACTTCCTCAGATGCAAGTCTACAAAAGCTTTTCATAGGGGGGATGCAGATCAGGGCGTCGGGGACGCCCTGGGATGGTGCGCCGCTGGAGCGAGGCACTCGCACGGCAGCGCACCGGCGGCGTCCCTGAAAGTGCGCCCTAAACGCGTAGGGTGCACTTTCCCTGACTTTTCCGCCGCAGCGTGTGAGGACGCTGCGGCGGGAGGTTGCCCTGGGAGCGCCGGCCATGCGGAGGGCCGGCAGCTCCGAGGGCAACCTCGGGAGGAGGAAGGGGCACCGCTCGTACGGTTGCGCCTCCTCTTCCCTGCCTCCAAGACGACTTTATTAGTCGTCTGCCGAGGCTGATAGTTAGTCTCAAAGGTACTATGAGATCCCTTTACATACTGATATTTTGCAGCTGTGTGAATGTTGAAACGTTCAGCCTCTAATCAAAAGTAACCTAATTTCCCCATAATATCAGAATATGGGGAATTGTGCTTTGCTTTAATGGCTTCTTGAGAATAAGCCAGAATTGAAAACAACCATTTAATCTTGAGTTGTTTTTATGACCCATTATTTAAACAGACCACCATTCATTGAGTTTGGATACTGGGAATTGTGGTTAGTTCAAAATTGGAAACAGAAACTTCTTTCTTTTCTGGCCATGAAAAAGCAGAAAAGCAGAAATGTAGAGGGGCAGAGTATGAACCTAAGGCTCATCAGACATTACTTTCATAGCAGGAAGTTATGGTTTTCCATTAAGTCAGGACCTAACCTATGGCACTACTATTATTACACTGCCACTTCAGTCTTAAACAACTCAAAAAGTCATCAGGTTTAGCCTTCCCAATAGACGATTACCTAATTTTTGCTTGAAGATGTGCATTTTTCTAAGTACAGCTGGCCTTCCACATTTGGAACTTTGACTTTTGTGGATTTGATTTTATTCACAGATTTGATTAATATGTTCTCTCTAGGAATCTCTACGTTCTCCACCATGACTCTATGGTCAATGATCACCAGAGATTGTGCTGAAGATTCCTAGAGAGGATGCTTCTCTAGGCATTTGCAGTTTCTCCAGTGCAAATGCTATGGTCAACTTCCAGCAGATGTTGACCACAGAAACCTGCATTGGAGGACCTAGAGATTCCTAGAGAGGTGCTCTTTCAGGTTAAAAAATGTATTTTTTTTTATTTGTGGTTGTTCCACTTTCATGGGGGTCCTGTGCCTCTAAGCCCAGGAAATGTGGAGGCTCCACTGTAACTGGTTCCATTGCCAAACTGCTCTCACCAAAGCAACCTTTTGATCTACAACTCCCAGAATCTCTTATCCAGTATTGCCAGCGGTCATGGCAACTGGGAGATTCTAATAACTATGCTCCAAAACAGTAACTCTTCCACACTCTGGCTTAGAAACTTCTTATGATAGGATGCTGCTTGTTCTAGCCTTTTCAAATAAAGTCCTGGTAAGAAAGAGTTGAGAGTGGTCTGGAGGCAGTAGCTATTAGACTGAACGAACAAGATAGTGATTTTGAACTGGGCCTCTAAAACATTAAGGGAACATTTCCTTAAAGAGTTTGTTTACTTTTACATCTCTTCAGGCTTTACATCAGTGTTTTAAGGAAAATGTAACCTAAGTGAAACAAAGTTTTATCATTATCTTCCATGTACTAAAATTCCAAAAGAAGGTTTTATGCCTTTTGCATCCATGAGCTTTCTCATTGTGTCAGCATTACCTCGTGCACCTGCACTGCATAAAACTCGTCATTCAATAACAGTTAATAAAATAAGGTCCCTTTCATAGTTAATTAGGAAATATTCTAAACACTCCAACCCCAATCACATAAAAACTTAAACACATGCTAAATGTTTATGCACCAGAAGTACCTTGGTTGGTCAAGAAACACTCTAATTGATATGAAGAACTTAACATGGTTTTTCCACCACCATTCAAGTTGTCAGGGGCTTTCCTAGCAGACAACAGCAGACAATCTCCTTGATTGCATATCCTCACCTGGAAGCCATGCCATTAACAACAGAACAACACCTATTCAACACAGAACAATACACAGTTTACATGGGAATAGCAGACAATATCCTTGATTGCATAGCCTGAAGCTATGCCATTAACACAGTACAATACCTATTCAACACAGACAACACACAGTTCACCTGGGAACCACTCCTCCCTACCCAGGGTCTCACAGTATATATATATACACCCAGGCTTTTTCCATTTCAGTTTTCTCTGAAGATGCTGGCGAAACATCAGAAAGAAACTCTTCTAGAACATGGCCACACAGCCTGAAAAAACCCACAAAAAACCTAACATAATATTCATCAAACAATAATGCTGGTCTTTATTCAATAGGCTCTTTCCCTTGGGAGAAACATTGTCGTAGTCCACCCTGCTACCTGTTTGATTCCCTTGTCACCTAAAAGATGCTCCTGAGGACTGGGTGTCTCTCTCAAACAGAATGGGTGATGGTAGGGGTGCATGAGTTAGGGCAGGGGTAGGCAACCTAAGGCCCGGGGGCCGGATGCGGCCCCAGAAGCCTTTGGACTGGCCCCAGGCCAGGCCTGCCGCTGCCCACCATGATGATATTGATTATTGTTGTTATTGCTTGTTCTTGGGGTTTTCTTGGCAAAATCTCCACAGGGGTTTTGCCATGGCTTTTTTGGGGCTGAGAGAGTGTGCATGCATATTTTTTAAAAACATTTAAAATGTTTTATTTTTATTTTTATTTTTTTATTTTTGGTGCTTCGGCCCCCCAATTGTCTGAGGGACATCAACTCGGCCCCCGGCTCAAAAAGGTTGCCTACCCCTGAGTTAGGGGATGAGTTAAGCAAAAAATGTGCTTCACTGATCTGTGTTCACTAGTCACTGAACACAATTCCATATTTTTGACTCTACATACGCAAATATTTGAATCACAAGAATATTAACTTTTCCTGTCTTCTTATTTCATGAATGCAATATATTTTCAAAAATGGCATTAGCCATTTTAATGACATGGTAGTTATCCTTATGTCAATGTAGACTTGCATGGTGTAGTGGTTTGAGCATTGGACTAGGACTCTGGAGACCAGGGTTCAAATCCCTGCTTGGTCATGGAAAGCCATTGGGTAAACCTGGGCAACTCTATCAGCCTCCCTCTGGCGACCTCCCTCTGAAGAAACTTTTCAAGAAAACTCCTTGGTATGTTCACCTTAGAGTCACCATAAGATGGAAACAACTTAAAAACACACAACAACAACAACCATCACAACAAAAACAATAACAACAGACTGGGTATAGTGAAAAGGAAGAATACAATATTTTTTTTTTTTAAATTAAATATAGCATCACCTGGGAAGTCCTAGTGGGCCAAAAAAGCAATTAAAGTACTTTCAACAAACAAACAGACCACTTCATTTATTACAGCAAATTTGGTCCAGTACTTTTTTTAAATTTGTTTTTATATATTTTATTTGAATATTTTTATTACATTTATACTGACTATAATTTTGATAGCTTTTTCCTTTTTTGGGCTTCTTTTCAGAAGGAAAAGTAGAGAACAAACATGAAAAGTACACACAATTTGTTTAAAAGAGATCTCCAAATGAAAACATGAAAATATAATTATTACATATATTTTTACCCTTCTGTCTGGAATATGGTCCTAAAACAGTGCCTTAGGCTCTTGTAATTTGATGGATCAGTTTTTCCTCTTTGAATCTGGAACCTGCAAAAAATAGTTTGTAATAAGTCAAAAGCCATAAAAGGATTTTAAAGGATGGGTTCTACCACACAGATTCTATCTATCTATCTATCATCTATCTATCTATCTATCATCTATTTTTCCCTCTTCCCTTGGACTGAGCTGGGGAACAAAAACAAATTAAACATATTATAGCACAATTAAAAGAGCATGTAAAACTAATGCATATTGAAAACATTAAATACAAACCTTAAAATTCACCACTAAAAACAATCATCTTGGTAAACCTTCCAGAAGAGATTAGTTTTTAGTTCTGGTTTGAACTTGGACAGTGTATTCAGTTATCGAATCTCTTCTGGCAGATCATTCTGTAGCCTGGAATGTCCTTCTTGTAAATTGTTTAATATTTAGATAGCACTTTTGAAACCTGCAAAGCATTTTGAATTAATTATTGTTCACACCTGTATAAATGAAGACATATGAACTCACTTATCTCTATATTTGAATTGTCATTCTCTTGTCATCTAGCGCAAGCACCAGCACACAGGCTTACTGGCCTGAGGCCTAAGTCTCTGTTGCTCCTCTGAATTTCTGGTTGGCCAATTATACCATGATGATCTATGGACTGAGTCTGTCAAACTTTTCTTCCCACCTCTTGTTGCTATTCTTCATTTTTTAGCATCAGCCCTATCAAGTGTAGCAAAGAGTCTGTGGAGCTGCAGTCATGATTGAAGGACAACAAGCTGCCGCACTTGCTTTATAGCAAGGAACTTGCCCACAGAAATCTACAGACAAGATTGAAGAGTTTAACGCATGCACTTTTCAGCCCGATCCATGCATGGGACAGGATAGGGCCGGAATGGGGAAAAACGGGTTTTACTGGGGACAGGTGATGGTCGGTCAACAGTGCAGCAGCAATTTTATTTGCGGTAAAAATCGTTTTTCCCTATCTAGTCCGATCCTGTCCTGTGCACAGATTGGCCTGAAAAGTGCATGCGATAAACTCCTGAGAAATTAAGACAGAACAAAAATCAACAGTCATTGCTATCCAATGGATTGAATATGTGCAGTGAGACAGGCAAAAGTGGCCTAACTGGGGGTAGCACAAACTCATATTGACAAAAGCGGGATATAACTAAAATAAAATAAAAACATTGTTGTTGTTGGTATTGTTGTTGTTGGTAGTAGTAGTAGTAGTAGTAGTAGTAGCAGTATCCCACTCTTTTCCCAGAACTGGGTCTCAGAGTGGCTTCACAATATTAAAAATATGATTAAACATATAAAAAGAGGTGCATTAAAAAGGAATTAAGTTATTACGATGTTAAAATAATTACCAAAAAAAAATTGTTTCCCATTCTTCACTGCTTTCCCTGCCATGGTCACTGGACTCTTTGATTCCATGTGGTGGCAGTGAGCGGAATGAACTGTATGTGATATATTAATGAAAAAGAAACAGGAGAGAAGGAGGAGCAAAGAGAGGAAGCCCATGATAGTGAAATGCTGCACGATACTGTAGCATGTATGTATGAAAGGAAAAGCCTGTTGCAGAATGAGAAACTGAGGCTGCTGCAAATCTGCAGAATTAATGCAGTTTGACACTGCTTTAACTGCCATGGCTCCATCCTCTGGAATTCTGGGATTTGTAATTTGTTGTTGCACCAGACAGAACAAGCTAAATATCTCACAAAACTATAAATCCCAGAATTCCATAACATTGAGACATGATGGTTAAAGTGTGTCACGCTTCATTAATTTTGCACTGTAGATGAAATGAGAGGAGAGAGATAGTGGACAAGAGAGAAAAAAACAGACTGGAGAAGTACAGAAGAGAGATATGGGGGAAAAAAGGGAAGAAAGAATATATAGAGAAGATAAGGAGGGGGACGTGCAAAATAGCTAAGTGGAATAGGGAGAGACTAGTAAGGATGGAGGAAACAGATGACTAGTGACAACACAGACATTACCACAAAAAGTGAAGACAAAAAAGACTTTGAAAGAGATAAGATGCAGGGAAGCCACGGAATCACCTAGAAACAAAGCCACTGAGCGGGAGGGGGCATTTATTGAAAATAATTGGTCTTAAAGGTACATTAATTTAGGGGGGAATGGTGTACCTTTCTTATACAATCTTTCAAACATTATCATCTCCAAGAGCTAAGAGAAAATTTCCTGTGATGTAATAAAAAATACACTGGGCTGTTACAAAAGGAAGTTCACACCTCTTTTGAATGACCTCTTCTGTAGTCCAAATACAAGAAGGTCTGGCACATATGGAGTCTTTGTATAGGGCAACTTATTTTATTAGAGAGAAAACATCATTACAAAGTTGGCAGAGCAGCAAACACTCTTCAACAGCTTTACACTTCAGTAAGAACTGTAGCATATTTTTCTTTCTTTGTAAATAGCTTTTGGGAAGCTTACATAACTCTGACATCCTACAGTCGCACTGCATAAAGTATAACACACAGTGGAATAATCAAAATATTAAGTCTTTTAAAATAGAAAACAAGAAAGATGGATCAAAATCTCAATTAAATAAACTAAATTACTAAATGTATTAAGTAATTTACTCATAATACATGTAGAAATTGGATAACGTTCACTTTAGTGATGTGGAGTATGTTAAAGGTGTGCACATGCCCAAAATAAAAGGTCAATAGTTACAGGCAAGTAAAGGCAGAAAGCCAAGAGATGAAGAGCAGATGAGTAAAATAAAATGTGGAAAAGGACATTGACTTTAGCTATTATTGTAAGCCCTTTGCAGGTGTTCTGTTGACCACAATAAATATATGCAAGGAGTAGCCATGTATACTGAATGTGACTGAGGATGAAGGGAGTTCCAAACATTCATTATAATTTTGGTACTCAATTTTTCTTCTCTTTTCCACATATTTCTTCCATGGAGCCTGTGCAATAGTCAGACCTGTGTTTGCAACTGTACTTCTCTGCATAGAGCCAAATTTACAACTTGGAAATTCTCTTGTGATCAGTGCATACTGGATGTTCAGGCAGCAGTGGTGGCCAGAAATACTTTTTAAATGACTAGGTTGGCACTGTCCCATAACACCACCACAGCCATTTAATGATGAAGTTGGAGATAATCCCAAGGACCATTTGGAGTTAGAAAGACTCTTTCAACAGTGCAGGAATCTTCTGTAAAAACATCCTGAGAGATTTAGGGCCTCGGCAGATGACTAATTGAGTCGTCTTCGAGGCAAGGAAGAGGAGGGGCAGCCACACGCGCAGCACCCCTTCCTCTTCCTGAGGTCGTCCTCGGAGCCGCCGGCCCTCCGCACGGCCGGCGCTCCAGGGACAACCTCCCGTCGCAGCGTCCGCATGCGCTGCGGCGGAAAAGACAGGGAAAGTATACCCTACGCTTTTAGGGCGCACTTTCCCTGTCTTGTGGAAGGAGCACTGATTTAGCGCTCCTTCCAGGGACGCTGCCGGAGCGCAGCGGTGCGGAGGCTGCGCTCCCGCGGCGCTCCATCCGGCGGCGTCTCCGGCACCTCCGTCTGCTTCCCCCCATAGTCCTATCTAAAAAGGAAAGGCTTTTCCCCCAGTGATCCATGGACCAATGATTTCTAGAGCCTGGGCAAGCCCAAACCCATGGTATCCTGCCCCTGTTTCTGACCAAGGTCAGTCCCCAGGCTGGTGCAGCAACATGTGGGTCTTTACATGACTGCTTGCCACCACACCATGAAGCCACCTGCTGCTACCATCACATCTTTGAAGGTCCCTGTCATGGCCTATAAGACCACTCACATAGCAAAGCATGACCGGGGGGGGGGGGGCTTCAGAGAAGATACAGCAGTGGCAACATGTAAGGGTCACATGGAAATGTGTGATGAGCTGGCTGTTACCTTGGAGTTTCCAGCAAACTCTGTGGGAAACAGCCAGTCTTTTTGTCCCATGCTACAGTCTCTTTGGGCTGGGTTTGGCAGGAACTGCCGGATCATAGTCTAGACTTGCTGATCTGCGGCTTTCAGCCTGCATTGTCTGTACAGGACAGAGTCAGGCTGGGGGAGGCGGGAACAAGGGCCTTTTGGTCCCTGCGTACAGGCCCTAGGATAGACTGCTGTAATATGCTTGACAGAGGGTTACCAAGATAGCTTGGAAATATCATCTAGTGCAGCTACCCAGTTCTTGGCAGGTGAAAGGTGGTCATATTATGTGATATATATACCACACAAGTTGCAGTGATCGCTGGCACTTGTCTAAGTTTAATTTAAAGTGTTCATTTTAACCTTTGAATTTGAATCGATTTACTTTATGGACTTCCTTGACCCATTATCTGCCTACTTGTACTCTGAGGTCATCTGCTGGTAGTCCTGCTCACACATCTGTCCCTGAGAAAAACTAGACTGGGAGGTATAGGGAGACATTTTTTTATGCAATTCTCCAACATCCATGA